ATATATAAAGTGTTTTTCCCACGGCACACCTTACACTATGTCACGGCACACTAGTGTGCCGCGGCACAGTGGTTGAAAAACACTGGACTAGATGATATTACTCTGATTTGCTTTAATTTGGAATCCAGCATTGATCAGGAGATCAGTGACATAATAATCTGCCTCCAATTCTGGGATTGATGACATAAAAGTCTGCTTCAACTTCCAGGATTCTGGGATTGCAAAACAGTGAATATTTGTGAATGATTTGAATATGTACCTAAAATGTGCTTATTGAATTACATTTAGAGAAAAGTAATATATCTAAATTTACTATATTTTATAAATTTATTATGTAACCTTTTTCATCTGGATATCAGGATGTTTAAGTGGGTTTTTATAGGTTGTTTAATATTTTGAATTACTTTTGAGATGAAACATCCTATGTGATATATTATTAAATGTGGTTCAGATTGTAGTTGCATTAAAGGAGAAAACATGTTGCATATAAAAATTGTGCACTTGGGTGCTTATGCATAATTTCCACTAATTTTAGTGCTTTTAAATATGCGTGAGCAAGCTCAGAATTGTTATACATGATAAAAATAATAATAGCTGCAGAAAAAATGGAATTAGTAAAAACATGAATCAAAAGTCTTATAAGTTTTGTATCTTTAGGCCAAGCTGCACAAATGATGTTGTGTTGTTATACTAAGGATCACACTCGAGAAGTAGAAAGGGCAGGAGGACCCCCAATGTGGTAAATGGTTTTCAGGAATTAAATAGTGCATAAAGCTTCTTTGTAAATTCATCATTAAGGGCTCACTTTTTGCACTCCTGCTTTAGGTCTTAGAATTTTTTCGAGAGGCCATATATTCCACTCATAAAGCTACACGTGTATTCACGTGTATATTTAAAATAAGATTGAAAGAAAAGTTGAGTGGTTATTATTTGGGCTTGCTAATAAAACTATTTTTCCCCCAAATCTCTATACATTATCAAAATCTGCTTTGGTTTAGGAATCTGGACTTTGGGTGATTTTAGGGATATTGTACACAGAAAAGCAA